GGGGGAAGAATAAAAGAAAAGACTGTGAGAGTGCGCGCGCGCCTTGCACAACGCGAAACATCTCATCTCGGTGAGCGAGCCAGCCAGCGGCCCTGCCCAGCCCCACCCAGGGGGCACCTGCGGCCGCTGCACAACAAGTTCGAACGACATTCGGTCCTTATTCAATTCAGTCTTTCTGGCGATGGCCAGTTTCTGTTTCCAGATAGGCACCCGAAGACCCGACCTACGATTGTTCAGCCACCAGCACGTCCAACTGCAACCCTGAACCACTAAGTTTGTATAACAAATATGAACTACCTTTGTAGGAATAAAATGATACCAGCACCTAAGCGCCCCTCTTCAATACAAATACCACTGCACTGGTAAAACAAAAGTGCACAATTTTCACACCAATGTGCAAGTTCTGATTATGCAAATGATATGGTGTTTAACTCAAGTTAAACACTTGTGTGATGTGCAAATTTTCAACGTTTTGTAAAAGTTTAAATTCTGCACACCTGGACAGTTTTATGCTATCAGTCAGTAGGAGCCATATGGTGTGCAGCTGCTATACTTTTCGGAAGTGTCGGACGTTGAAACACCAATTTACGTTTGGCCTAGTTAAACACCACAATGTGTCGAGAAATTGCACACTTGAACTTTAACATCAATTGACGTGTAAATTAAACACTTGTTTTATCAGTGTGCCACTATTCTTTTATACCTTATGACGAAAGGATCTCATTCGATTGTACAGAAAAAATAGTGTACAACGGCGTACAGTTATAAAGGCGCTACATCACTAAAAGTTCCCCAAGTCAGGGCAGGTACTGTTGTGCGACAACCATTCCCGCCACGCACTTGGACGCTCTGGGCGGCCGCCCACCCAGGCCGCCGACTCCACACAGCTGTTTGGCGGGCTAGCCTACCCAGCGCGTAGCAGGCGCTATCATTTGCGGTGCCACGTTTTAGAGGGAACCACGTTAAGGACTACCAGAGCGACACTCTCGTGCGAGTGATCAGGACTCCCATTGAGGAAACGCAAATGACCCCAAAATTGACGCCACACTGCAAATGTTTTTGTAACCTTAAAAGGTTTTTCAATTAAAATCTACAAATAATTCCAAATGACCGCAAATGACCTTATAAATAAGAAAGTAAAAAGTTGAAACTTATGGTATGTTATGCATTGCGCAATTAGCAGTTGTGAAGGGTTTTCAGATGTGCGTTGCCCACACTTTCGACTATTCATTTTCATATTTTTCGTGTTTCGTATTAATAAGCGAGTCAAAGCGAGTGGGGCTAGGGAGATCCCGCGATAGAGGACAGTTGCAAACAACTACTCTACCCACGTACGCTCCTTGATGATGAAGAACAAAACAACGGTGAAAATTTCCTGGAAACAAGAGGCGCGCAGTAGGTCCGCTCCGCATTGCGACACTCAGCGCCGCGGCATGGCGCCCAGCCGCCACCGGGGCGTGGGTCTAGCCTGGACGGACGAGATAAGCAGGAAATGCCACAGCGGTGAGTGCATCAAGCCGAGTACAACAGTTGGTCCATCAGGGATGATTAGAATATTCTCAACACATTCTAAATTTGTCAAATTTGTGTATGTTTGTTAACTTTCCAAATTTAAACCTACAGCGTTAGAAAAACAACACAAGATTTTTTTTAGGGGGGGGGGGGCGGGTTGGAGACAGGATAACGTTTTCTTTGATAATTACACACAGACACTAAATCTAGATATATTTCACATTCCTCCCCGATGGCTTCAAATGCGTGCCGCATGCCTGCATCATGCTGTGCAGCATTTACCTTCCCTTGACCAGCGCACAGCGGCGCGCATCCACGAACAACTTTTTACTCCATTTGTGCAAGGTCCCAAGTGCCGTCCGTCCCCTTGAACTTTAATACGGCCTCTTATTAAAAAGTGTGCGAGCTTACGCCCGCTGGCACAGCAGCGCGTCCAAATGAGGTGCGTGGACACGCAATCGCTTTTGGCGCGACCAGAAGTAGCGAGTATGAGAGATCCCGCGTCCTGCGTTGCTGCAGGACACAACGCATACCAGGACCGGCCGCGACGAAGGTTGCACGCGGAGGCTCCCGGTGCCGCGCGGTGCTCTATGTAGAGAAGGTATTGGCGCCTGCGTGACGCGCACAGGCACACGTGAGGTCAGCGTCAGCGATAATCCGTCTCAGAAGCGCAGCACGGCGCAGCACAGCGCACCACGGCCCAGCACGGCGCAGTACGGCGCAATACGGCGCAGAACTTAGCAACACGCAATTCTGGTGGAATATGTGAATATTTCAAGAGAGATTGAAGATGCTGTCAGCGGATACACGATCTTCGGCTTTAAGCTCTTATGACAAAGAAAACGAAGATAGCATTTACTTTTGAAAATTTCCGCGTGTAGGCACGAGACGGCCGATTCACTTAGCCTGTTTCGCCTAATCCTATCTGGTGAAGACAACTCAAAGCCGCGCGTGAATAGGCAAACAGCCCGGTACGGATTAGATGTGATAAAGGGTGAAGGGCTAGCCCTGGCATAACAACACATCACCACTGAGAGGATCTGCATTCGCCGGCCAGCCCAGGCCCCGGTCCGCCCGGCTGTTGAGGTGGGTCGTGTGAACAAACTACTTTCTATCCGCAGGGCGGAGTTCGCGGGGCGGCGGCGGCGGCGGCGCGCTGGGTCAGTGCCAAGGCCGGCAGGCGACCAGGACAGTTCTTCATTCGGGCGCACGTGAGCGCGTGCTGCGGGAGGCACTCCGCACAAACAAAATAAACGAAACGGGCGGGAAAAAAGTATTTTTGGCTCGGCAACTTACTAATAAACGGACCCTGCTCCAACATTCTCTGCCAGGATCATGAAACGCAAATGGTGATGCGCGCCTGGGCGAGGCCGATCAGCCGGTGGCGTGGCCCGGAGGCCAGACCCATCCCGGTTACAACAAATAAACCAAAAGGACACATATGTCAAAACGATCTTTACACGACGGCCACAGATGATATCAGCTTCCCTGTCGTGTGGTGAAGACAATTCTTAACTGGTTTTCTTTTTAACAACGAGCAGATGTTGTAAGAAGTATTCTCGAGCATTACTTTACTCGATTATATGAAAGTAATTAAGGTTACTGGTATATTTAGTAATATCCAAGTGTCATAAGACTTTACAAAGTGTGCAATTAATTACGATTCATATGTGTTAATTAGTCATTTCTCCGAGCTGCAAGGCAAAAGAGATGTAGCAAAAGTGGGATAGAACAATTCAACTGTAGGAAGCGCCACGAAGAAGAGAAAAGGGGAATACAAGGGAAGTCAGCAGAATACCAAAACCTACTTTAAACTTTGAGCGACAATATGACACATTCGCTTTATCTAAAAATGATTAAACGTCATGATACTGTTTTCACTAGAGTTGCGCACACATCGCCATTCATTAGAAAAGGAAAGGTGCTTTACAGACAGTAATTACAACCGAAGGTGCGAGGACAAAGCACAGGTGGAGACGTCCTCAGACGTCTTCATCAATCTAATTTTGAGGGCGCACCTTTAGGCATTCCCTGACAACGCTCATCTCAAAAACGCCATCAACGGCAAGGTCGTGGGGCTCAGACTGCCAGCAGCCCGCTCGTTTTCCTTCTCCCACCTGCAGTGGTTAGCCCCGAAAAGAGAGAGACGACCAGTCTCGGGGCGACGTTTCCGCACGCAGCCGCGGACCCCGGCGCGGTCGAAGTTGGCCGAGGTAGCGGCTGACCTCTGACCCCACAACACCCATCCCTACCCAGAGAGACGGAGAAGGAGTGTGTGCTTTGCGAGAGGGAGAGTGAGAGAGGGGGGCAGAGTGTTTGTGCAGTGGGACCCGGTGGGGCCCGGTGGGGCCCGGCAGGCCCCGGGTGGGGCCAACCAGTGGGTCCTGACTGTCACTGCCAACGCCATGCTGTTCGGCTGGTTCGGCTGGGGCGGGGCGGGGAGAAGCTACAGCCGTGTGAAGAGGATACAAGGGGGGAGAGAGATGACGCATCCCCCACCGCGCCTGCGACGCGACACAAAATTCGGCAACTATAAAACGGCCGGGTGCCACGAATTTCAGTACAGTGTTCGTCCAGCCGCACGCTAAACACACGCATCCAAGATGAAGACCGCGGTGAGTGATTAAGTGAAAAAGTGAGAGTGAGTGAAGTGAACAAGTGACACCAAACGGATTAACCATCATCGACGCAGAATCAGCAAGTGAAGTGATAAAAAGTGCTCCAGTGATCCAAACTCCACTGTGTTAATTGTATCCAAGGTTTAGAACTAGACCCTACGCGCTGAGCAAAGCTACCAAACGAATATTTTTATAGTACATTCTGAGTTACTGATCTGTAGAATAACGTATAAATGAAAGCATAAGACTGTACATTTCTCTAAATTTCAATATTGCATACAGAATTATGTATTCAATTTTGTGAGTAACCATATTAAACAATTTTCTTTGGCGTGCTGTTGTTTAATCACACAGCTCGAATTAAGAGTCCTACGAGAGTCAAGTCCCACGGTGAACTCGATAGATCTAACGATGCCTTCTCGGAAACATTGATATTATTGTTCCGTCAGACCAGAACAGTAATAATGTCAGTCTCCCAAGTTGACTCGTGCAAATGAAATTCATTGAGATCTTCCGTCACAGATCGCACTTCTCGCCCTCGCTGCCGTGGCTCTGGCCCGCCCCCAGCTGCAGCAGGCAACCCCCAAGCCCATCGCCATTCTCAAGCTCGCCAGTGACGTGCAGCCCGACGGATCCTTCACATACGAGTAAGTTTGGGCCTGGTCTGTTTCCAAGAGAACAAATTTTGAACGGAACGTTTCAACAAATTTTACCGTGCTTCATAACAGGTACGAGACCGAGAACGGCATCAAGGCTGACGCCCGTGGCAACCTGGTCAACGCCGGCTCCGAGAACGAGGCCCTGAACCAGCAGGGCTCCTTCTCCTTCGTCGCCGACGACGGCCAGACCTACTCCATCACCTGGGTCGCTGACGAGAACGGCTTCCAGCCCCAGGGCGCCCACATCCCCGTGCCACCCCCAATCCCAGAAGAGATCCTCAAGGCCCTTGAGTACAACGCAGCCCACCCCGAGGAGGACGAGGAAGTGTCCAAGAGGCGGAACTGAAGCGTACATGATAACTAATTATTTATATCCAGTCAAAACTGTACCTGATAAAGCAGAAACGAACCGTTACCATTAGTTTAAGAGGACCTATGGGCCTAAAACAAACATATCGGACAAATTTTTGTAAATGCAACTGTGACAAATAAACAAAAAATGAAAATATAATTTCTGCCCTGCCGTTTGTCCCAACTACGTTCCAAGGTCAGCGTTAACCTGTTTGTGATGACAGCATTCATTTCATATGAATGGATGTCCCGCAACCTGTCACCTTGCGTGCCATCCGGTTCCCTCCAAAACGGAGAAAGTCCAATGCTCCCTCCTCGGTCAAGGCCGCCGAATTTGGGGAATCTTTCCTAGAGCGATGAAAAACAGCGGGTAGCCATGAAATTTTTCCACGATGCAACAATACCAATGTGTTTTGGCATACATCGCGTCTCTGCTCTGCCAAACTGGTGACAGTAAACTGACGGGTCTGCCCGCGCCTCCGTTGGCCTGGCCGCCGAGTGGACAGTGCCACCCAAGGCGTGACCCTATCGAAACCGCGACATACTCTACACCAGCGAATTCCTCCCGCAAAACTAAATAATGCAGTGGCAAACTTACAAAGGGGGCAAGAAAATCGCAACGTCACTGATCAGAGAAAAAAAAGGAAAACAAACAGAAAGGGGGGGGGGGGATTTAATAAAGTAAACGTTATTTATGCGAAACAAGGAGCACACAGTAAATTGCCTACGAACAATAAGTTCGTAATGCAAACCAATACGTTCGTAGCTTACGAAGGATTTTGAAGCGTTGTATTACGAACTACACTCGTGAGCAAAATTAAAGCGCCACTTTTTTGACAGGGCGTAATTTCGAAGTGTGATTAGGTAGGAGGTTGCCGTTTGGCAGGAAGATAGGCTCATATGTTGGCATCAGACCCCT